ATATGTAAAACCTAATCCCGAAACTTTAATCTCGGCGAGTCTCTGCGACGCTATCTTCAACGCCTCGGGAAATTTTTGACAGATACACCGACTCGTCGGCCTCGATTAAACATAATTGCGGCGAAGGAAGCGAAGCTTCGTTGCAAAGAAACGAAAACAACAGATATTGAAGAAAAAAAAAAAAAAAAAAAAGGTTTAAGAAACGTTATCTCGATGTAGACTATCGGGCCGTCGTATCACGTATCGATGCTTTGGACACGTACCTAAACAGAGAAAGCCTTGGTGCAAGAGGCCCCTGAGGTATTTATGGCACTTATCGCACTTCTCCAGTACGCTGAAGCTCTGAGGCATGAGGGTGTGCGGCGAATTGCCGGTGGCCACGGAGCCGCTGCCACCAGTGACCGCCTCGCCGGAAGACGTGTTCGACGTGGCCGTGGTGGCCGCCTCCGACAACGTGGCGCTCGTCGACGGGGCATGACAGAGCTCCTCGATGCAGGCCAAAATGGTCTTCTGGTGGAAATCATCCTTGATGCCCATATTCTGCAAACAAGAGGAACCAAGCATTGTATCGCGAAGTCCGTGGTGATGAACGAGCAACGTTTCTCACATTTACGTCGCCTCTCGTAAATATGTACATCGGTCCGAGGTTCTTTAATTTTACGGGGAGTTGCGCGTTCTCGCCGCGCTAACGATGACGTACACTTACGAGCTCGTAACAGCAGAAATACGGCTGACATAAAAGTTCGATGAGAAGTTCCCGCGCGCGAGAGAGAACCGAGAGTCGAGGGGAATCTCTCACTGCTTACTGCAACGCCTCCTTTTTTCTCATGCCCTTTTTTCTTAACTCTGACTGACGATCGGTTTCGCGAGCAACGACGAACGTGACCTTCGAACCGATCCGAGACTCTTGATTTTTGGCGCACAAAAGGAAAGGCATCGAACGAGCATTTTGACAACGCAACGTACGTAAGTGGGGGCGTTACATGGCACGACCTCGTAAAAGGGTGGAACGCAACGAGTCGAGCGTAATTTATACGTATCGTAATGTCTTTCGCGACTGACGTCTCGTTTCCCCGGCGCAGTTGATTCCCGAGTCAACAGGTGTCAGGTACACGTGTGCGTCGAGATAAACGGCCGTGTACACAGTCCTACATACAAAGTATCGCGGGGATAAAAGTTCGCGAGTGGGATCATCGCGCGTGATCTTTCACCTGTTCAATTTTTCTCCTCTCACAAGTCGAATCTACTCCGAAACGTGAAAAAAAAAAAAA